GTGAACAGTGAGATGTTTGGGCGCTGAAGTCGCCATAGCCAATTGAGAGTGAACTCGTATCTGAAAGCCATACATCTGAGTTTTGAGTGGGCGCATTTCGCCAGTATGCTGCGTTGCTGTTTACATGCATGAAAAGTGTGTTTGAGAACGAGTCTGATTGCATTTGTATCTATAGTGGCTGAATCTGGCCGTATCTATAGTGGCTGAATCTGTCCACGTCTATAGTGGCTGAATCTGTCCGCATTTGTGCCATATGTATGGATGTCTCGTGGTTGCGCCATATGTTCGAATGTGTTGTGGTGGCGTGTGTCCTCTGCTGGGGCTTGACACGAATTCTGAATATGCCACACATATTGGAATACAAGTACAGAGTAAGCACCTCACTCCATTGTTCACCAAATGGGCAACATGAGAGTGAATGTTCCACATTTTTTTTTTTTTTTTTTTTTTAGTTCGTGCATGTGGTGAGTAGTGGAGCTAGGCCTTAAGCTGGTGTAGATGGGGAGCAAGCTGCCTGACTCAGTTGTTTAGGCACGCGAGTGGCATTCATGAAGTCGTGGGTCCAATGCTCACTAGTGCCAACCAACTGACATGGTTGGCTTGCTTCCCCCAGACGGTATTGGTGGGGACTTTGGTCATCACGGTTGGGTGTGTGGGGGGGGGGCGGGGAGGGGGGCGGCAGTGTGTGCTGTGTGAATGTTGGCCATAGATACTGCTGTTACTCAATGGAGGCAGGGAAAGTAGATGGGAGGTGGAGCTACTGGCAAAATGCTCGTTTTTTGGGTTGGCTGACCGTCCCCAATGGCGGCCACACCCTGCTCCCTGACCACTGACGATCAGGGCAGGGTGGCAACAGGCATCCCCTTGGTTGTGAGAGGTGTCAATGATTGCAGGGGTCCCCTGGCCAGGCTTAGAGTAGTGGTGGATAGGTAGTGAGAGGTGAAATTGAGACAAGAATATAGCTTAGCTCTTTTTTCGCTCTTTTTACTTCACGAAGGGCGTACACACTAGCAGCTTCTTTTTTCTTTTTTGGGTGGGCGTAATTGCGGCCATATACATCCTGCTCTGGGAGATCCTTTTCCAGTTCCCATGCAACCACAGGGACAGAGAGGGTCGCGGGTGTTTCAACCGACGGTTCCCGGCTGCGGCCATGGGCCGCAGTGGGCCAAATGACTTGTTTGTCCTAAACTGAGTAACTGGTCCACAGACAACACAAACCCCTTTCCAACCAACGTTCCCAATGGTCACCCGCTCCGGAAATTTGGGCAACCTTGACACGGACAACCCATCATCAATCTTTTGTCCTAAACTGAACAACTGGTCCACAGAGGACACAAACCCCTTTTCCTTTTATGTTAGGCAGAGCTCCACTGTGGCCGGACTCATCAAGCAGTCATCGCAAGAAGTGGGATAGAGCTCGGCGGCATGATGGCTAGGCTAGACCAGCCAGATGTGTAGGCAGTCTTATCTGAGAACTGTAGTCAGTTGTTGCACTCATGGGATGAGGCGAGAAGACGGCTTTCAGAATCAAGAGAGTTCAGTGTTGTTTTTGTTTGTGTATTGGTGTCTCCTTTGCAACTCTGCTCTTGATTTGGTCCACCCATGCATGCTGATCATTTAGTTCATGTTGTTCAGGGATTGGTCCACAGGATTGCAGCAACTTACAGACCTGAAGATCATGGCAGATCTGGATCCTGGGAGGACACCTGGAGTATGCTATGCAGCGAGGGGGTGCAGCAGTTGTGCACATTGAACAAGTGGAATCTCATTGCGAAAGTGTGTGGAGAGTGCCACGTTGCATAGGTTCCCTTCGACTTGAGGAATATTCACTTGCGATTGCTGGAGTGTTTCCACCAGGCAACAATAAGAGATGACCTGTTTGTGAATTCCTCTCCAAGTCACCCCCATCATGTGCTGGGAACCGGGCCCAGCGCCACCCTCTCCGAGGAACAGTTTTCCAGTCAGCCTGCCTCATTTAGTGACAAGGATTATCAGCTGCTAAATCTTGTTCCCAATGTGCCGATGAGAAATGGAGTTCAGAAAGAAACCAGAGAGATAGCTCATCACTTTTTTTATCAGTTGTTTTTTGTTTTAAACATTCATTTTGACGATGGGTCTTGGGCAAGCAGGGTGCAGCCTAGTTGCTATCATTCATATTGTATGCTGGTGCATAACATTACACGAGGGTTTATCACTGCACACCTTATATGGGCACGCTGCGCTACATCCATGCAAGATATCTACAGGGAGGACAAGGAATCGATATCAGCAGGGGCGTGGGTTTCTTGGATTACCATGCTTGAGAGAGCAGGGGCGTGGGTTTCTTGGATTACCATGCTTGAGAGGAAAGGTAGGCAAAGGGAGGGCCACAACCACACTGTCAGCCTTGAACAATGGGCTGGGGTCAAAATCAGACGGAAGAGGGAGGTTTTAGGGGATATCACTCCACTGAACACTCTTGAAGATCAAGTCTTGAATATTAGGCCCATGACTTCAAGCATCGCACTTCGACCCAGGCACTCCTGTGAAGATTCCAAGGCCTATTCTTGACAATAGAGAAAGCCACTGAAGGATCATCGGCTGCCCTTTTGAAATCGGAATTGAGCAAACAAGTCACAGATGAGGGGGCAAAAACAGCGTGGTAGTTGAAAAAGGACAGCATTCTAAGGTCTACAGCTTACCTTGGAAACCCCAACCTTCTCCCGTTCTATCCGCTCCCTCTCATGTTTCTTTAGTCGCGCTTTGTCTTCCTCAGCTCGTGTCCTTTGTCTCTCAAATGCATCGTATAGCCGAAAAAAAACCTGCACCCAAGTTGAGATTCAGTTTTTAACTTGATGGTGTCTACCTGTAATGAACCCAGATCGTGAGACAGTTGTCAACAATGCAAGTCCAGAAAAATGTCCATCGGCTGATAATTACAAATAGTCAAAAATCGTGATCANAAATAGTCAAAAATCGTGATCAGACAGAATGAGGTGAGATATCATACACAGACGAAGAGGGAGGAGGGAGAAGAGACAAAGGAGAGGAAGTAAAATGCCCACTCCTGCTTCGGGCTCCCTCCTCTACTGCCACCTCATCAATCAATAGTCTGAATGAGTATCCGAGTATCCTCAATGTGCCACGTGGCACGACCAATCAGTTCCACATCAGCATCTAGAGCAATGTCGACATGAAGACCACCAGGTACGTATCCTCGAACTCCCCCCCACAGTCCTGATCTCCTCCTGAAGTGATGACGAACAGAACAGCAATGCCGAATATGTAGTCTCAGTCACAGAACACGTGGACAGCAGCCACGTCAGCTTGATACACGTGGCAGCAGCCACATCAGCCAAGGTGCATGGCAGCTGCCACGTCAGCAGGCCAAGAAGACAGGAGCAAGCCGGCCACCATGCCGGAATAGCAACACCTCGCCAAGTCACAATGCCAGAGCGTCGAGCCAGCGTCGCAGCGTCAAGCCAGCGTCGAAGTCAATGCGTGAAGTCAGCATCAACGCAAGACAGAATGAATGTCAAAGCCAGGAAGTCAACTCTTATGTAGTGTTGACGCGGGGTCTGGACCCCGGCTGCTGTATCCATCGGCCGTCTAGATCTCAATGCGAACGAGGGCTCAGATCGGCCTGAAACCGAATTCCCTCCGGCCTGCATGCTGTCTGGGTACCTGCGCACAACAAGTGAGTGTATCCATCCCAGGGCCTGGGTACGGTACCTTTGACTCTACAGTTGACTTTGACTCTTGAATTTCCTGTGTGCAGCGTGCGGTCACACAGCCACACTCGACAGACTCAGGCCTGGGCGTGTCTTGGTCACACAGCCCAGCGCAGACCTTCTCAGGTCTGCGTGGCCTGGGGCTGAGTTCTGAGCCCGAGGCTACTTCTGAACAGGGTTATTACATTCCTGCCGACCCATTTTCGAGTTCCACCGCAGAAATATTTACGACTTTAACCCTCGTTCATAAGCAGCGACAATATCAGGAGCAGTTTCAAGTAGTTCTCATTTGCTAAACCATCTGCCCTCAGATGGTGCTTGAGTTTTAAAACGTACCTTGAACTGCTTTTGAGGTCGTCCACGTCCTCCCGTAGAGAAGTAACCATGCTCTATGATCCGGTCAACCTCGTACCGGCCATCCATGTCTGGTGGAATCATAGAGGGTCTGTGAGGAAACTCATTTCCTTCTACGTAAGGCAACAATTTGGACGCATGAAAGACAGGGTATGTTTTGAGATGAGGGGGAATATCCACTCGATAAGACGGTCCCTCTGCATTTCCAATTACCTTGAGAACTTCCCAGGGTCCAAAATAGACAAGTAGCAATTTCTGGGAGACATCTTCTTCTAGTGAAAACTCTTTAGATTTTACCCAAACCAAATCACCTTCTTTAAATGTAGACGGTCGACGGTGCTTGTTGGCTTGTTCAATCATTCGTAGTTGAGCTTTCTTTAGATTATCTTTAACTTTCTGAATGTCTTCCTGAAACAAGATTGCATATTCTTGGGTCCCTGGGGGCAACCTAAGGAACTGGTCCCGGTTCAGTACATCAATGGGACGTTTAGGCTTCCACCCTTTGTGAAGTGCATTTGGGGTACGTCAAGTAGACATGTGGACACTATTGTTATATGCACTTGCAATCTTAGGTAAGTTCTCGTCCCAATCAATCTGATCGGGTCTAATATACATACGCAAAAGTTGTTGGCACAGACGGTTCATCTGTTCAGTCTGGTCATTCGTTTCGGGATGCCTCTTTGACGACATGGTCAGCCGTGTGCCATAAGCTTCCATCAGCTTTTGCCATGGCAGACTGGTGAACCTGACATCTCGATCAGACACAATGGTTTTGGGAAACCCATACTCAGTAACCCATCGCATCCAAAATTTCTGAATGACAAGTTCAGTACGTGCTTCTGCTGGTAAGGGAACAAACATAGCATATTTAGAGAAACGGTCCACAATTACCATCACTGGACTGTTACCATTGCGACTTTTAACCAGACTCATGAAGTCAATTGAGATAGACTCACCTGGTTCGCTTGGTATAGGTAATGGCTTGAGAAGTCCAAGGGGATTCTCGTGCGACGGCTTGTTTCTCTGACACACTAAACAAGTACGAACATATGTTAGTACGTCTTCTTTAAGTCCCTTCCATTCGAAACGTTCTCTGACTTCAGCATATGTTTTCTTGAAACCAAAGTGACCCTCAGAAGAATAACAATCCATCAGTCATTCTATAGTTGGGTAGTTGGGATGGGTCTCGTACAAGGACATCCATGATTGGTTTCCAGATAGGATCAGTAGCATATCCTTGGCGAATTTGATCTTTCAGGTCATTCCCAACATCCAAGTAAGAGGCAATTGCACCAAAGAAGTCACTCCGTCTGGACAATGCATCTGCGACCACATTAGACTTACCTTGGATCGTTTTCAACTCAAAATCGAAGGTATCAATAAACGCAGACCATCGTACCAGCTTATCAGAGAGCCTCGGCTGTGTCTTTATCCACTTCAGGGTAGAGTGGTCTGAATACACAGTGAAGTGCCTCCCTAACAAGTAGTGTTTCCATGTGTTTAGTGCATAGACTAAGGCATACAACTCCCTTTCATAGGTGGAGTTGGCAACCTTTTCAGACGGCAGTCGCGCAGACATAAACTCTATTGGCCTATAGCCCTTGTCGTCATCTTGCTGTAGAACAGCGCCAATCCCATACTGACTTGCATTAGTAGTGACAATGAAAGGCAAAGATGGGTCAGCAATCTTAAGGACGGGGTAGTGAGTCAGGGCATACTTCAGTTTCCGAAAATAAGACTCACAATCCTTATCCTACAACCAGATAGTTTTTTTCTTTAACAATCTTCGCATTGGTGCAGCAATCAGTGAGAAGTTCCTAACAAACTTCCTATAAACCAAGGAAAGATCGCAATTCCGTTATAGACTTAGGTTGTGGCCAATCTCTAATTGCTGAAATCTTCTTCTCTTCTGGCCTTAAACCTTCTTCGTTCACTATATGTCCTAAGTATAGCACTTCGGACTTAGCAAACTCAGACTTTTTGGGATTGATCTTGAAGTTGCCCTCATGCAACTTCCCTAGCACCTGACGAAGGTGCTTCTCATGATCCTCTAGTGTTTTACTATACACTAGAATATCAACGAGATAGACAATAACAAACTTATCCAACCACTGACGAAACAAGTCATTCATTGACCTTTGAAACGTAGCAGGGGCATTCGTTAATCCGAAGGGCATTACCACGAACTCGTAGTGACCATACCTAGTCCGGAAAACGGTCTTATGCTTATCGGAGGGTTCCACTCAATCTGGTGATATCCAAATTTCAAGTCGATCTTGCTAAAGTACCTGCATCCCTGTAACTGGTCAAGTAAGTCGTCAATGCGAGGAAGCGGTTCAACGTTCTTAACAGTGACAACATTCAACCCTCTGTAATCAATACAGAGACGCAACTCACCTTCCTTTTTGGGCACAAATAAGACAGGGGCACCATAAGGAGAAGAGCTAGGGCGAATCCATCCTTTCTCTGTTAAGTCCTGCAGTTGTTTTCTCAACTCTTCAAGTTCCCTAGCAGACATTCGATAGATAGGGCCCTTGGGAATCTTACTTCCAGGAATAATTTTGATGGTGTGCTTGATAGCACGTTCAGTTATTCTTATCGGTTCGGCAAACAAATCTTTATACTCATCAAGGAGTTTTTCGGTCGAAGGAGGATAGGAAGTAGAGAACTCACCTGCTCGTTTTACTAAGACCACCATTACTTCCTGTTCCAACCTTTTCTTTGAAACCATCGAACGAAACGCTGGGTAACTCATACAGCAGAAAGACAGGCTAGAGTCAGAGCCAGACTTATAAAACAATTTGATTGGTTTCAAATCAGACTGTGTGTCTCACAATTGCACAATCTTTTCTTTGAACTTAATATCTGGGTTGGCTTCCTCGTGCCAATCCATACCAGAACTAAGTCAAACGGTAAGTTCTTTTCCATCAGGAAGGATACCTCATGCAAAATCTTCTTACCTTCCTTTGTTCGAAACCAACACTTGACACGATCAACATACTGCGAGACAGTGATCGTGCTTTTGTCGGCCAAAACAGACATTATAGGTTTAGACATGTTCTTCACCTTCATTCCGAGATGCAACTTGCGGATTGCTTTCTCGGATATATAGGATCGCGTGGATCCTGAGTCTAACAGAGCACCTACGCATGTACGTGCAATTTCTACATCCGCAAGTAGTAGGTCACCCTTAGACTTAGCTTTCTTAGCCCACGAGCTTCGTAATGCCAGCAACTCGTTACCAAGCTCGTCAAGAGAGTCGTCCAGAGAGATAGAACATAAGACAGGTTCAGGGTGTTCTGGACGATGGACCGAAGAAGAACCATCCTCTGCCATGCGAGTCAAAGGGTTAGAAGGGTTAGTAGGCGCCTTACCTTCATTATGGTCCAAACCCTTAGACTCAGTAGGAGCAGATGCTACTCCTACTGGCGGCTCACTTTTGGGTTATGAATCAACGGGCACCATGCAATTACATGCCCTGCAATGCCACACTTCAGGCACTGCGCGTTGTCCATTCGTTCCTGCCACGTTTCTTTTGACAGGCCCCTCTTCTCCCAAGGCTTCCCGACCGCAATTCCGGGGTGTTTTGGAAACGAGCGTGCCTTCCTCTTCTTAACCGGCGGTCGTGGTCCTCCCTTGTTGACCACGGCAGCAGTGACTTCCCCCTTCCCGGAATCACTGCTGTTCGCCACACCCTCGGCCTCCAACGACCATCTTTCCACAGTTTCGTCATCGAAGACGACAAGGGTGTGGTCTTGGCGCTTTTGGCGCCAAAGTACTCGCTTACCTGTTCCTGGACCACCACCATACTTCACAACAGATGCATAAGAATTCTTCACTTGCGAAGTCATTTGCTCTCTTTGGAGAGCAAGGTCTCGAAATTGCCGGTAATTGTACTTAGCTGACTTTGACTCCGCCACGAGCTCACCGCGTATGGGCTCAGGCAAAGCTCGAGAGTAAATGTACAATACCTGATTGTCTTGCAGGTTCAAACCGGGAACCTGCAACAGACGGTCAACCTCCCGAGACAAGGCTTCAACAGAAGTCCAATGCTTTTGACCTATCGTTGTGAGCTGGTCAAAAGCCTTGTCGGTTGTCGTCTTATCCAAAAACCGTTCCTTGATCTTGGCAAGGAACTGTTTGAGGTCCAAAGTTTCAGCCCATACTCCGATGTCGTCAAATCCTGCCGCATTGGCTTCAGCGAGAACCCACTCTTTTGCTTCCCCACCCAAACATGAAGTGGAGAAGGCCACTTGAGACTCGGGTTCAACGGGGTCTGTTCCACAATACGTCTAAATTTCTGCGATCCACAAAAGCAGATTTTCGTCTCTCTTGTTACAAAACGTAAATGGCAATTTCATCTAGACTTCTTCTCTCGTTTTCGGTTTTTCAGGTTGAGGGGTGGTGGTCTTATTTCCAGCAGGAGGCGGACTCGATGGCGGACTCGAAGGTGGACTCGAAGGCGGACTCGAAGGCTCCCCTTCCTTCCCCTTAGTTTTCTTAGTCCCTCCCTCAAGTGCCTTAAAAGCATCTCCCATCAATTTCTCAGGTTTCTTTTCTTTCTCAGTTTTGACTTCCCCAATCACTTTGTTCTTTCCCTTGATCAAATTGGTGATAGTTTGTAATCCCGCGGTTACCTCATCAATACGAACACCGTACTGATCAATCTTCATCTCAAGATGTGCGAGGTAAGTCACTAATTGAGAAATAGAAACTGTCTGTCCTTCCCCTTCGATTACAACCACATTCTGTCTAATTTCCTCAATTTTCTTTTCTTGCTGTGTATTTCTCTCTTTTTTCCTTCTCATTTCTTCTCTCTTTTTCTTCTCTTTCTCAAGTGCCTCCTCGAGTTGTCCAATGTTTTCATCCAGGACTTCTTCAGAAATCGTTGTTTTCTGTTCTTTTTGTTTCTGCCTGTTCTCAATTTCAGCAAACTGACCAACGACAAAATCATCAAGTGCTTTATGGCACTTGATCAGTATGCCTTGGACAGCAAGGACGTCGGTCCCAGTTTCCACAGTTTCAATGGCAGTTCTTAGTGCCTGCATATCATACAATTCACGGACATGGGACTCAGCCTCTGGACCAATGCCACGTAGTTTAGACTCAAGTTGATTCAAACGGGCAATCAAGACTTTCTTCCGTTCATCAACTTGTTGCCTGGTTCGTGGTTCTGGCTGTTCTTCATCTACCGCAAAGATTACTGAAATAGGATAGAACAGAAATGGGATGAAACGCGTGAGCATCGAGAGTTTTAGACATTTCCAGAAATGAGACATCATGATTTGCGTTTGTCGCACAATTAATTAATAAACAATAATAGATTCCACTGCCGCACCTTTCCTTACGGCAAGACTTCAGGTAACCCAAAGAAGAAAGAACAACTACAATTATTTTTAAGTTCTATGTCTAACTTCTGTTGTTCTGTGTCTATCTGTGTGATGACGTCCTAAGTGTACAGGTACCACGTCAGGCCCGTGGGATCAGAGACAACACACAAGTAAGTATGCACAACACCACAACACAGCAAACGACAGACAGGTAAGTATGCCAACAACAATGTCAGCAAACTTAGTCAATCTGTTGTGTCCACTTGATTGTTTGTGCGATCACGCACTTGCCCGGACGGTTGGCACTACAGCTGTATAATTACTCCAGTCAGTTGTACCGCCGTTGTCTTCAGAGTGCCCCTTTTTACTTAGCAGTAGTCCTGCCTGCCACGTGTCACCCCTGGCATGCCAACACAGCAGATCCTGCCACGTCAGCACTCTGTCCAGTCAGTCAATAGTGGGATGCCACGTCAGCAAATGTGTCCTTATCCTCGCCACGTGCCTCTTCCATGCGTCTCGTGAGATATTGTCGCCGTGTCAGATCATGCCACGTCAGCTAAAGGCCTGTTGCCACGTCAGCAGATAGCCAACACCTCATAAGACAGGTGTGATGACTCTTCCAGCCACGTCAACAGCCAGTCTTGTCCCCAAAGCCACGTCAGCACCTGCGGTAGACCCTGTCGCGTGTCAGTAGCACAAGAAGTGCCACGTCAACAATCAGCAACAAGGTTTTCAGACGTGGCACAACATATGCCACGTCAGCAAGGGATCGCGATGTCACTATCGCGATCCAGGCTGGCATGCGGTATTTCCAATGGCAGTCCCTTCTTCCACGTCAGCAGCCAGGTAGGGACTTCCTCTCGCCAGTGAAGTCTGCACCTCGTCTGCACTCTCGGCAATGTCTTCTCGCCAGACAGGTATGTACCTCGTCAATATCCCTTGCCACGTCATCACATACTCAACCTCACTTACCTGCGTGCCACCTGGCGCCTATTCATATACAAATGTCGACTTCAGGAGATTAGCTCCGATACCAAATTGTAATGAACCCAGATCGTGAGACAGTTGTCAACAATGCAAGTCCAGAAAAATGTCCATCGGCTGATAATTACAAATAGTCAAAAATCGTGATCA